CGATGCTTTATGTACATTATCTCATTGAATCATCCTCAACCTCATAGAGGAGATACTAACATCACCATTTTACAGATGTAGAAACTGAGACCGAGAGAGTTTATGTAACTTGCCAGCTTGTTGGAGGTATAGTCAGGATTCAAACTCAGGTCTGTTTGGACTCTTATACCTATGTTTTTCTCACTCAACCTTGACCATAGGAACTGCTAGTTTTCTAGGCTAGGTGGGCACATCCACAATTAGTTAAACTGTCATCAGATAGGAATGGGTTTACTAATAACTCTGTGATGATGTCATAGAATAATTTGATATTATATGCCTTTTACTGGGGATAAAGAGGCTTGAGAGTTTTGTATTTACAACTCTGTTGAAGAATGACCTGTGTCAGCTTGCTGTGCCAATTTTACATTCACCCAGCCTTGTTTGTTTTCTGTTGACCTCTGCCATTCCAGACATCCTTGTTTGGGGAAGGGACCTACCTCACCAGTGACTTGAGCCTGGCCCTCATTTATAGCCCCCATGGCCTTGGATGGCAGCGCAGCCTCCTTGGCCCCATCCTCAGCTGTGTGGCTGTGTGTGAAGTCATTGATCATCCAGATGTCAAGTGCCAAATGAAGAAGAAGGGTGAGTGAGGACTTGGCCTGGACCTAGGCTGCAGGCCTCTGAGTGTGTAGGCTCTTGCCGTTGACCCATCTGTTGGGTGGAGCACCCATTGCATGCAGAGGGATGGGCTGGGTCCAAAGCAATGTGGGACAGGGGCTTGCCTTCAAGGAGTGAACAGTCTCCTTGGGGATTGAGCACTTACTACAAGGTGGTGGGCACAGAGTGCCATGTGAGGAGGCTGATGAGGTCCACAAGGGCAGCTCACAGGAAGGTGCAATCAAACATAGTAGGTCCAAGTACTCAGGGGAAACTTTGGGGAAAGGTAAGATTTTTTTTTTTTTTCAACGTTTATTTATTTTTGTGACAGAGAGAGACAGAGCATGAACGGGGGAGGGGCAGAGAGAGAGGGAGACACAGAATTGGAAACAGGCTCCAGGCTCTGAGCCATCAGCCCAGAGCCTGACGCGGGGCTCGAACTCACGGACCGCGAGATCATGACCTGGCTGAAGTCGGACGCTTAACCGACTGCGCCACCCAGGCGCCCCAGGTAAGATTTTTTTTAATGTTTATTTATTTTTGAGAGAGAGGGGGGAAGGGCAGAGAGAGAGGGAGACACAGAATCTGAAGCAGGCTCTAGGCTCTGAGCTGTCAGCACAGAGCCTGACACAGGGCTTGAACCCACGAACGGCAAGATCATGACCTGAGCTAAAGTCAGACGCTTAACCAACTGAGCCACCCAGGTGCCCCGGGAGGAAGTGAGATTTGACAGATAAAAGGGAGCGTGTGAGGCCAGAGTGTGGGCTCCTTGAAGGCAGAAAGTGAGTTTTAGTCACTCTTGGGCACCTGATACCTGCAGAGAGCCTGAAACCTACTTGACATTCAGTAGGTATTCACTAAACTGAAGCTAAAGACGTGGATCCAGACCCTGTCCTCCAGGCTACTCTGGTATGTGCCTGAGCCCACAGAGGATGTGAGAGGCAACTGAGGCCACAGAGAGTAAATCCTGGACTCTCTGGGGGAGTGGATGACTAGCTAGAGCTCAGTCCACTCCTCCGATATGTCTCTTAGAGTCTGTGCCTTGTGCGCCCTGCTGTTTTGCCCGCAAAGGCAGAAGAGTCGCAGAACTGTTACTCTAGTCTCCAGAACTGGCCTGTTGGTTCCACGGAGAAAAGAATTGAGGAAACTGTCTGTTCCTGGCCTCTAATGTAAAACAACTGGAATCCTGAGGAATGGCCCCTGTCTGACACTAACCTTCCACACCAGGCAGCATGAATATTTGCACTTATAATTCTTAGGAAGTTAGCAAACTGTGACATCAACATCAAAACAAAACCTTGCTGGGGCGCCTGGGTGGCGCAGTCGGTTAAGCGTCCGACTTCAACCAGGTCATGATCTCACAGTCCGTGAGTTTGAGCCCCGCGTCGGGCTCTGGGCTGATGGCTCAGAGCCTGGAGCCTGTTTCCTATTCTGTGTCTCCCTCTCTCTCTGCCCCTCGCCCGTTCATGCTCTGTCTCTCTCTGTCCCAAAAATAAATAAACGTTGAAAAAAAAAATTTTTTTTTTTAAATAAAAAATAAAAAACAAACAAACAAACAAAAAAAAAAAACCACAAAACCTTGCAGAGTCTACTGTTGCACACAGCTTTGGCTTTGTTTGTTTGTTTGTTTGTTTTTATAAAGCTTCATCATATTATTAAAAGGAAAGTTTTAGGTTTTTTTTGTTTTGTTTTTTAAACAAATCTTGGTACAAAGGGTGGAACATAAGAGTTCTAAGAAGCTCAAAAATCCGGAATGATTAATTTAAAATGCCTAAGAGACTTGTTTTGGGTCAAGCCCTGTACCTAGGCCCAGATAATTTTTTTGTTATGGCCATCAGTCCGCTTCTTCCCTCTGCTTGTCCAATGCAGGTTTTTTCCCCCTTGTCTCCCTTTTATCTTCCTGTTCCTTTTTCCCCTCGTCCAGCTTGTCAGACTCTCCTGTATTTTAGTGCTGCTTCACATACAGCACATATACAGCTGAGGCCATTCCTCACCCTGCTGGGGCTTCCCCACCCTCATGACCAGGAGGCTTGACTTATTTCTATTTGTAATTTGCTTTTTTTATTATTGTATTTCCCCCCGGTGAAGTTGTACTTTATTCTCCTTATTCAGATTCTAAGGAGATAGATCGCAGGAGAGCAAGAATCAAACATAGTGAAGGCGGAGACATCCCTCCAAAGTACTTTGTGGTCACCAATAACCAGCTCCTGCGAGTGAAGTACCTGCTGGTGTACTCCCAGAAGCAGCCCAAGAGGTAAGGAGGACGGGCCCTGCTAGAGGTCCAGGAGAACATCTAAATGCTGAGAGTATTGTGTCCCTAGTTATCAGCATCCCTTGCCCCCAGCCTTAGACCTCAGCTATGTGTAAAATATATAAAACGCTGTGCTGCACACGGTGAGGGGTGAGGAAGACAGGTGGAATAAGACGCGGTCCTGGCCCTGAGAGGAGTGTGTTCTAGTGAAGAAGACAGAGAGATTTCTAAATACAAATAACATGAGGGACTGAACGAAGCCAAATTGGCTGCTCCAGACCATGAGGCCCCTTAGCCACCCAGGCTCCTGATTGTAGTCAGAAATGCACTGATTTAGGTTAAGCCAAGAGGCAGGGTGGTGCCTGGGTGCTGACTGGGAATATGTGCCACTCTGCTTGGTCACTTCCTGCGGTGACTGCTGCTCTCTGGACCTGAGATGCTTCATGTTTATGTCCAAGATGAGGGTGTTGGACTCAACAGCAGACAAGACCTGTCAGCTCCTCAGAACCGTGGTGGATTCCACATCCCATCTCAGCAGTGTGATGGTGGGTGGCAGGGTTCCCTGGGATCGAGGGTCACTTTGAGATCCTGTCACATTGTTGGGGTCTGTGGCAGAGCTTCTGATGGGGACGAGCAGCAGATGAGCAGCTAAGGGGGTCACTTGTAATCCTCCCCACTCCTGGCTGTATACACCAGTGTTTCCATGCTTCAAGATTTCATAAACCAGTAAAATCCTCACCCCATCCCCCACATTGGGGAGATTTTCATAGGGTTCCTGAGTCTGAGGAACATTATCCTCTGGTTTAAAATCATCTGGCTTTTTCTACTTGAAAATTCCATTCCTTTCCCACTTCTCCCTGGAGTGTCTCTTCAGTACACACTTGGACAGTTTAGATCATCTCCCAGTGGGCCAGAGAGGATTTCCCCAGCTCGGACTGATATCTGTACATGTCTAAAAGTGAAAAGATTTCTTCTAAATTACCTGCCACCTGCTGCCATTTGGGCAGACACCCTGAGCACAGTCATTCTTCTAGATACCAAAGTCTTGCCTAAGAAAAGATGGGTCACAAAAGGCACCAGAGGAGCTATGAAAGAGAAGATCAGGATGAGCTCATTGCGTAGCTGTCTTTGTACATTTAGAAGATGTTCTGGTGAAAGATGTGTCGGTGCCAGGGCAAATAGCCCCAGATTTTTTTGAGCGAAGGAGCATGCATGAAGCTTCGTTTCATGGCTCACCCAGAGGATGAGATTCATCATTTCATCATCTTTGAGCCAGAAGTTGTTGCATACACTTAAAAAAAAAATGTTTTTCTCTTCTTGCCAACATCACTTTTTCCCCCCCTTAAGCAGGGCTTCAAGCCAGCTGTCCTGGTTTTCCAGCCATTGGTTTACGGTCATGATATCCCTGTATCTGCTGCTGCTGCTCATTGTGAGTGCCATCAACTCCTCAGCTTTCCAACACTTCTGGAATCGTGCAAAGAGATAATCTCTCTGGTGTGGGGGCCACCTCGACCATGTGCCTTATGACAACCTGTTCTGTACCTCCCATGCACCGTGTCCAACCAGGTGGAGCCTGGGGGCCAGTTGGGGACCACAGGACAATTTTCATATGCCATAAATGTATTGATTGCCTTTGATGATGCTCTGAGCCACACTCCGCTCAGTGGGGACCACGAGTCTCTCGCTCTGGGGCTTCAGGGGAGTCCTCCTGTCTGCTCCTTCCTAAACAGTCCTAGGGAGTTGGTTTTTCTGCCAGGGCCAAAGGAAAAAGTCGTGCTGCATTTAAAAACAAAGTGTCCAAGCTGTCAGTGGGGTGTTTACAGTCACTCCTGGCAGACGTTGGCCCTTTCTCTAATGCCTTCTGGAAGGCAGAATATGTGTAGTGGGGACTATAAATCACTAGGCGGTTGCCTTGTTTTGACCTGAGACACCCAAGAGGAACAGTCATGTTTCTCATAAAAATTGGTGGGATCATTTTGAATTCCATCAGCCTTTGTATGTGAGTGCAAAACCTTTTCACGGTTTTCTCAGATCAACAAACAGCGTTCTGCTACAGCTGTAACCCCCCTGCCCCAACCATGGACGAGCAAGGAAGGAGCCAGAGACCTGGTAAAAAAGACAAATTTAACAGCAACTCAAGTCTTTTTCTAAAAATTACCAACTGCTGATTGTAGTTGAAATGGAAACACATGTTTGTTTTCTGTTTTGTTTTGCTTTTTTAAGTAGCTATTTGACAAATTCATCTTTGGGAGCTGAGTAAAAGGAGAAGATTTCGAGAGCACTCTTTGGTCAGTGCCCATAGTCTCTTTCCTGGCCATGTGTTAGAGAAAGGGATTTGAGTTGCAGGCCTGCCACCTGTTCTTGTTCTCACGAAGCTGCCTTGATTGTGGCCTCCCAGCCACAAGTGCCACGCTGCAGGACCTCAGGACACGGGCCTGCCTCAGTCTGCCGCCAGTGTGCATGGACTGAGCATCCCTTGGAGGGCTCACAGGTCGTCGGGACCCAACCTGGGCTTTAAAAGTGGGGAGGAAGCCTCTGGCTGCTTAGGGAGCTACAGATCTCCTTGCTGTGTTCTCTGTCCTTCCTTCCTGCCCTGTTTCAGCCATCATGGAGCCCCATCTGATTTGAGGGGTAGATCTCTGTAAAGAAGGTAGAAAGTCATTTTTCTATAATCTGTGAAGTTGTGAACAAGCCACTATCATGGTTTTTACATTGAATATTGGAAGATTTCAGAGATAATAAAGGTATTTTCCTAATTACCAAGTGGCCTTTGTGACTGCTTTCAGTCTCAGCAGGAGTCTGCCATGTATGCCTTGTTGCTAAAAATCTTATCCTCTCTTCCTTTGTTCAAGGTAGCAGTTTTCTGGACACCATATATCACCTGGATATCTAGTAGGTATTAGATTGCTAGTCATTGATTTAACAAATACGAGCACCTACCGTGTGCCAGGCACTAGAAATAGGAGCAGGATCAAGGTAAAAGTGTCCCTGCCCTCCTGGAGCTGCCAGTCTGGCAAGGTCGGGAGCTGGACAAGCATTCTCAGGAGTGGGGTTGGATTACATGTTGTTATAAAGGAGTTTTGGAAAATACTTGGCAAGAAGTCTTAACATAGTCTGGGGTCAGAAAATACAGAAGTGACACATGTACACCTGCAAAGCACCTACGTGTGCAAATTTCGTTTTTTCTTTTCTTTTTCTTTTTCTATCTTTGTTTTTTTTTTTTAGTAGGCTTCACACCCAGTGTGGAGCCCAACTCAAGACTTGAACTCACAACCCTGAGATCAAGACCTGAGCTGAGATCCAGAGTTGGACACTTAACTGACTGAGCCACCCAGGTGCCCCTGATTTATTTAATCCTGACAACAGATAAGAAACGGAAGTGCCAGAGAATTTTGTAGCTTGCTCAAAGCTATGTGGCTGGGAAGCAGCACAGAGCTGGGAGCTGCACATTGCAGGTTTCAGTGTTAATCTCACAACCACCATCTTCTGCAGCACCCCTGGGCTCCTAGAAAAGGTGATATTTAACTGAAGCCCGAAAGAACCACCAGTATCAGGCCAACAAGTGGAGGGAGAGTGTTTCAGGCACTGGGAAAAGCACATGTAAGGACCTAGAGTTCTTGCTGGAGGAGTTAAAAGCAGGAAGGTCATAAAGGAAGAGGCTGTGGTGAGAAATGGGGCGGAAGAGGTGGGCACGGGCCAGATCATGCAAGACCCTCAAAGCTGTGGGCCAGGGAGCGCCATTAGGTTTTAAGCATGGAAATGATATGATCAGATTTGGTTTCCAGGAAGCTCATTCTGGCTGGTGGTTGCAGAATAGATTTAGCATTATTTTGAGGATTAAAAGAACTGACACAGTCGGGCTCAGCACAGAGCAAATAGCTGACATGTTTCAGCTGCTATTATTAGTTTTTAGTGGCCCAACAGAGGGAAATGAGCATGCACAGGACACCTAGCAGCAATGTCCAGGGAAATAGGAGGAAACCAAGACAGCAAAGTGTCATGGAAGCCAAAAAGGCAATCTTGATGAGCAGTGTCAAATGGTGCCGAGCAGTTGGGATTATACCTGGGAAGTATCCATTGGATTTACTGAGTTGGAGATCATTAGCGAACTTGCTGGGAGCAGTTTCAAGTAGCATTCAGCAACAGGGGATGCGGACAAAGTCCAACTGCACAGATGTGAAATGTGCAGTTTCCAGAAATTCTTGGGCAATATTTATTTAAAACCTAGTCCCCCCTCTTTTTCCCTGAGGTTTCTGCCCCCACCCCACCCCCAAAGAGTCAATGCGATACCTGATGTGAGCATGGGGCAAACAATGAACATGGTAGGAACTTGAGGATGGATGAAGAATGGTCCTATCCTCCAGGTGCTCCTAGGCTAATGGAGAGCCATTGGACAGGTACATTTTTTTTTTTTTAATTTTTTTTTCAACATTTACTTATTTTTGGGACAGAGAGAGACAGAGCATGAACGGGGGAGGGGCAGAGAGAGAGGGAGACACAGAATCGGAAACAGGCCCCAGGCTCCGAGCCATCAGCCCAGAGCCCGACGCGGGGCTCGAACTCCCGGACCGCGAGATCGTGACCTGGCTGAAGTCGGATGCTCAACCGAATGCGCCACCCAGGCGCCCCTGGACAGGTACATTTTGATGTGACAGAAGGAAATCCCTGAGTGAGCAGAGAGTAGGTCATGACTACATTATGACTTTCATGGGCACTTTTGCCTTCCTGGACTCCTTAATAAATATTTAAAATTATATTTTATGATTGTGTTGGTATAAAAATGAATATATTACTATTAAATACTAAAATGTTTGCTTCCACTTACAAGCTTGTTTTTTCCTCCTGATTTTAAAAATTTTAGTTTTAATTTTTAAATGTTTATTTTTGAGAGAGAGTGAGAGAGCACGAGCAGGAGAGGGGAAGAAAGAGGGAGGGACAGAGGATCTGAAGTGGGCTCTGTGCTGAGAGCAGAGAGGCTGATGCAGGGCTCGAACTCAGAAACCGTGAAATCATGACCTGAGCCAAAGTTGGATGCTTAACTGACTGAACCACCAAGGCACCCCTTTTTTTAATTAAAAAAATTTTTTTTTAGAGAGAGAGTGCAAGTGGGGGAGAGGGGCAGAGGGAGAGAGAGACAGAATCTCAAGCAGACTCCACACTCAGCATGGAGCCCAACACAGGGCTTGATCCCATGACACTGGGATCATGACCCGAGCCCAAATCAAGAGTTAGATGCTCAACCAACTGAGCCACCCAGGCATGCTTCCTTCTGCTTTTAAAGGAAATTAAAACATTTTTGTGATGTGGATTCTATGCCCTGTGCCTATAATGCCTTATGGATGGGTCCACCCTGGACTAGGGTAATGGGTGATAGCGTGAGATCTCTGGGTAGCTAGGAATGGAGAGGCGGGAAGGAGACAAACTCTAAAGACTCACAGTTCTATTTAGCACCAACCTGACATCTGAAACAGACCCCAGAGGCCAGCCATCTCCAGGAAAGGGCAAATTTGAGTGCTGGAGTTTGGAGGCCCAAGGGGATCATGCTGCAGACATTTTTTCATGGAGAAAGAAGAAGCAGTCTCCTTGCTGACACACCCCCTCTGGGCCAAGAGCTTCACCAGGCCACTGATGGCAGAGGAGACCAGATGGTTCAGTTGGAGCCACCTCACATCAGAGCTGCAGCTGCCTTGGTCTTGTGAAAGCAAACCCATCAACCCTCTATCACTAATGCTACTGTCAGTGAGGACAATTTGGGCAGGGGTGACAAGAAGACCTTCCACAAGTTAGGTCACTGCTTCTGGAAAGTGCCAAGAATCCAATGAGCTGTCAGTTTTCCCCAGAAAGGGAAGGGGTTTTACTCTGTGGGCTTTTGGATAAATGTACCTGTGTATGTGAGAGAAACATGGAATAGGAATGTGATTCACTATTATTTCTGATTAATTCATTTCATTAAATACTGATTGCTTACAAAATCAGAGCTGGTAGGGAGTTTGTGACTTAAAGAGCCCAATTCAGATCTTTTTCTTTAGAACATGGCCCCATGCATCTGAGCCCAATCCTGCTGCTAAGCCCTGGAGGTTTGTGTTGGCCTGGAATCAGCTGCACTCACCCTCCCCATTGCCATGGTGATTCTTGGGATGGTGGGGGGAGCTGGGTTCAGCTCCTCTCTCTCTCTCTCTCTCTCTCTCTCTCTCTCTCTCTCTCTCTCTCTGTCACTCACACACACACACACACACACACACACACACACACACACACACCCTCCTTAAGCCCCCTCCACAGCCTCCACCCATCTCTCCTCGCTCCCCTCCTTTCCACCCGGCCCCACCTCGTGAGTTTTCCATCTCTTGGCCTTTGTTTGTTTTTGCTTTTGTCAGTCTCCCTCCTCTGGATGGGTTTCTGTTTGTTTCCAAACTGTCTGGGGCTGTGTACCAGGGAGACAGTGTCCTGGGCTGCCTCTAGCCCTGATCTGGTTAGAATAAGCCCCTCTTCTTTGCATGATCTCCAACCTGACATTTGGAACATCCAAAACAAATCATGACATTCTGAAGCGAGATAGAAACCACCATCTCCACCCACTTCTGTTGGCACTCCTGTCCACCTGGAAAAGGTTTTAGAAAATTTCCAGTGTTCTCCACATCGTGGAGCCCTGGGAAGGGGAAGCAGCACTTTTTGAATACCTATTGACTACCAGCCACTGGGCTAGGCTTTTTGCTTGTGTTAAAAATCTGGTGTGCAGGTGATGTTTCCAGCATTGAGATTCAACTGCAGGCTGTCAGAGGGAGCAGGGCCTGGGCTGTCTTGGCATAGTCAGTATCTAAAAGATGATGGAGACTCAGGAAAAGTCTGCTGAGTGAATAAATGGATGAAAGGATTCAAGAAACTTCCCTGCCACAGCAGAGAGTAATGACTGAATGTCAGCAAAGGTGATCGAAATTCTACTTGAAGAAAAAACACAGTGGCAAGGCTGTGCAGATGGGCGAGGGTTTCAGGGATGGTTGTGGACACTGGTTGCCTGATTTCAGAGTCCCATTTGCTCTGCACCTTTTGGGAACAGTAGGGCGTAGGCAGGACAAAGCCTTTTGTTTCACTGAAACAAGAGTTAAAATGCACCTAGTCCTGAGAAGGGTTAAACTACTGATTTGATGCTGCTTCATACACACATGTAAGTGACTGATGACAAAGTCTTTCCTAAGAAAATGGGATTTAGAAATGAGTTGGGAAGAGTGGTAGTAGAGAGAAAGCAACCAGGGGAGATTCAAAGGCCAGAGGAGACTTGTGGGGGTCAGGAGAGAAAGGGAAGGCTGAGGCCCCTGGAGTCAACCCTCTTTCAGTGCCCATTTAGCCAAGGGAAGTTCTTGGTGAAAATAGCTTACGGTGCTGATAGGGCCTTCCAGCCCTCACAGCATTGGTCAGTTCAGTCAAGCTGCCCACCAGTGTGGACAGGAAGGGAAAAGGCGAGTCCGAATTCCTGGGAAGTATGGATTACAGATTGGTTAAAGATGTAGGTTTACTGTTCTTGGGCAAGTATAGCCTATCCCAAATTGGCCCTATAACACATTGCCTGTCAGAGATCTGTAGGGATTTAAAACTAGCACATCAATTATATATTTTTTTAAACTTAAAAAAAATTTTTAAT